GACCGCGTGGTGGACAGGGTTACTACAAGTGATTCTGCTCTCCATTCCGCAGCACGACGATGCCGAATGGGTACGACTCGCGACAACACCAAGGCATGGACCTGCATTCGACAGAAGCTGCATGTAACGGATACAACACTGCTACAAAGCAGTACTACGACACAACTGCCATACCACCAACACTTGGTGATCTTCACACGTGGACCAGATGCGGGTAACAGCATGCACAGATCGGACAACATAGCCACTCATCTGCATGTTACAGCACACTGTTCCAACCATTCACATCTCCAACTCCGACTTGCATCTGCCCGTCCTGGAGTTTGCCTACAATTATGCTCCTGACGCCGCCACTGGACAGACGCTGTACTTCCTCTGTTACGGACGCCACCCGATCACACCACAACAGCTAACCATATCAGCCACAGTCCGACTGGCTTCCGATTTCATCGCCATCGTCCACCATCTTGTACATCGACCACACAAGCGCCCTCTTGGACATCCAACATCAGCACAAGCACTTGGCAACTCATCACTACCCTTCTCGAGACCATAATCTTGACATCAGCCAACTTCCATCCAAGCTTCAACCTTGCTTCTGCAGGACTATCCTCTTTGAAGCAAAGGTTACTTCATTCACCTTCCGCTTCCGCGTACCAGCCACTTGGAAGATCCATAACGCCTTCCATACCAGCTTCTTAAACCCTATCAAGACCAAACACGCTCTACACCGAATGCCAACCACCGTCGCCGCCCGTGTTCATCCACACCATGGGACAACTACGTGCTCGGACACCGTCGTCGTCAGAATGGCACTCTGGAGCTTCTTCTTTGTTGGAAGGATTCTGATACTTCTAAGGTTGCGTCTCTGAACTCGACATGGGTAACGCCCGTCGTCCTCTTCGCGACTACCTTGTCAAGCAGGGTGTTACTTCTACCACCCAGCTTTGAGGGGGGGAAGTGTGAGAGTACGATCCCGTTACACTAATTTCCCTTTTCATATTTCCTTTCTATTTCATTCCTCTTTTATCCTCATTCATTTGGTCTTTATCTCATCTCATTTGGTTTCCTATTCCTCATTTTCTATTATCCTTTGGTTTATCCTGTTATTATAATTATATCACCGACCAGGCTCGGGATGTACTGGCGCGCTATATCTAGCGTAATCCTGCCGTAATCCCTTAAAGCCAATTGCCTCGCGTGGCTATACGCATGGTGATTCTATTTCTAGAAGGGTCTATTCCCTTTGGATAGGATAAACCTGGTTACCTGATGTATCTTGGAAGTATAAAAGCACCTTGTATTGATTGATAGGGCAACATTGAGCAAACCTTTCCTCGGGACATTCGCTCCTGTGACACACTCGCTCCTCGTCTGTTGCCCAGTCTAACAGTGAGGTTGAGATCTACGCCGGTGCCATGGCGGCACAGGAGCTCCGCTGGCTGACCTTATTGCTTGCTGACTTAGGTGAGCGGCCCTGCTCTCCCGGTCCTGTACGCTGAAAACAGGGTCATGATTCTCCTGTATCAGGAGCCTCGACTGGAGGGCAGAGTGAAGCACATCCAGCGGCGGTACTTCCTCCTGCGCGAGCTACAGCAGCGCCGTCAGGCCCGCGTAGTACACTTGGCCTCCGGTCCCAACACAGCTGATATCTTTACTAAGGCACTTGCGCCTAAAGATTGTCAGCGGCACTGTTTGTAGCTTGGTCTAGTTCCTGTAGCTCCTCACTTGCTAGGATATTGATTGTGTACTCCTCTTATATATATTCCTTCTTGATTGGCCTTGTGGTTTCTCTCCAGTGGCCGGACTAGTAGTATCTCCTTGGCTTTATCTTGTCGTTTTTGCACTCTTGTTGACTGGTCTTCGGACCCTAGTCTCATAGGTTGGACTAGTAGTGCCGCTCTGAGTTGTTTGTCTCTTTCCAGGCACTGCCACTTGTCCAGTCTAGGGGGTGTGTCAAACATATTTGTATATGTTGCTGTAGACTAGATAGGGGCATGCCTTAGCGAGTACAACAATTTAGGTCAAAACCACCTTGTACCCTGTTTTCTAGTCATTCCGCTACTCTGATAGAATGTACCCTTCGAAGTGCACAAACAGTTAGACTCTACATATCCTCTTATGTTACTATATAAGTCTTGTATTCCTATGCTATAATTAATCATTTGTTCTCATATATCAGTACAAGGGTTTAACTCTAAGACTTCCGCTGTGCTATCAAGCACTCTATTACAAGGACTTAGCATTCTGAAAAGATCCTATGGCTATTGTCAGCCCAACAGCTACTGAGGCGGTTAGTTCTTATGTTGATGCATTTGTAGTTTGTGCTGTGTTTCTGTAATTGATTTTGGTTTTAGAAATGGGGGGGATGAGATCTGATGTGACCCAATAGCTGGGCTTTGGGAATATGTAGTATCCCATATAGATTTGAGAACTTCGTGAGACGTTGGATTTTAGCTTCTGTATCACGTATACTTACACTACAACGCAACAAGCGGTTAGGTGGGAATTCGTGTGTCAGCAGTTGTGTACTGCGCGGTCCGTCGTCGGCCGGCTTGGTCAAGGGGATTCTGATCGGTCCGAACCGATCGGTATGTCCGCTCGTTTGCCCGTCTGCTTCGGCTTTCCACACCTGGAAAGATGGCTTCACCAACCAGCAACACGGTCATAAACGGTGCTATACGGTTTAATAAGTTTTTTTAGGAGATATGGTTCGGTGATGCTTGCACATCACCTTCATTGGGTTGATGGTTCCATGGTGTGAGTTTGGGAATGTGCGGCTGCGGGTGACTTCGGGGCGAAGAATGCTGTGGCGACTCTTGACTGCGGTTGGCGTGGATCTACAACTGCGTGTAGAACGGGAAAGCCGCGTAAGAACGGCCGCTCGCTACTGTAGCACATACCAAATTGTATTCTGCTCATTCGCCTGCGCGAGGCAAGCGTGACTAGCAGGGAGTGCAGGAGGGTCACGACAGCCAGTGGCTGAACTTCTCATTCTCGCCCTCAAGCCACTTTTGAGGCGCCTCCGAGGCGAAAATAGACTAATTCTCGCCCTCGATTCCCCCGCGAGCAACCCGTCACGCTTCCGTCTCGCCTCTACCATCGCTCCTCCTCTCCCTGCTCCACTTAATCCCCCACGCCTTCTGCCTCGCACCCTCCGTCGCGTCGCGTCACGAGCGCAGAACGTTCATAGTACCGCCGCGTGGCCATTGTCTCGACTCAAACAGACAGGCCCGTCTGCGTGGGAAGCGTTAGCGATGTCAGCCTGCGACCAGCTGCTAGCCGCAGCAGTAATGCTTGGGTATCAAAGCCTGTGATGAGAGTTACAGCCTGGGTTACAGTTCGGGTTACAGCTCAGGTTACAGCTCGGGTTACAGCTGGGGTTACAGTACGGGTGACAGTCGGGGTGAGAGCCATGGCGGTTCTCCCCTCCTGTCTGCTCTCCTCCGCGGCCCTTCCCCCTCGCCTGCTGCCCAGTATCACCGAGATTCAGAGTCCTGTTTCGCGCTCGTCTATAACGCGTACGGCCTCCGCCTCGACCAATTCCACGTCGACAATCTCACGCTTCTCCTGCTGGGTCCCCGCATCTCGCGGCGAAACCCGCCGCATCTGGCGCCGCGAATCCCGCCGCGAATCTCGCCGCGAATCCCGCCGCAGTTCCCGCTAAACCGCCTCTACTGCTCCTGCACGGGTTCGGCGCGTCGTCGCTAAACCACTGGATCAATCAGCTCCCCGCGTTTTCCCGCCATTTCGACCTCTATATTCCCGACCTCCTGTTCTCCGCGGCTCGTTCTCCCGCAGCTCGCGGCGCGACGAGCGCTTCCAGGCGGAGGCGATGATGGCGCTGATGGACCAGCTGCGCGTCGAACGGTGCGCGGTAGTGGGCGTGAGTTACGGCGGGATATCGCTCACAAGTAAGTTGCGATGCCCCACTGCGTACGGTGCGGTTCGGTGCGGTGAGCGGCGGTTCCAGGGGAAGCGTTAAACGCGCTGAACAGCTAGGCATGGAACGGGGCGCGGTGGTCGTTCGGCGTCAGTTTACGGGGGGATTATCGCTCACAAAGCAAGGTAGCGGGGCCAGCCTGGGGGGGTAAAGGGGGGTAAGGGGGGACACTTCTGGGTTTGAAGTGGGCTGATGGACCTGAGCGAGCACGCGGCTTCAGGCAGTACTTGGCGGATTACTGCCTGAACTTTGGAATTCGGTTGGTGGGGATGAAAAGGGGGGGGTAAGGGGGGGTATTTGTGGGTTTGCAGTGGGCTGATGGGCGAGCTGCGCGTCGAATGGTGCGCGGTGTTGGCCGTGAGTTACGGCGGGATCGTCGCTCAGAAAGGAACTTGCGAACCTGGCTTGACGCCACTTTTGCAATACGGCAGGGTGGCCACAATACTCTCTGCGGTGACCTGTTCCTCGCATCTCTGGCGCGACTGCGGTGGTGCTTTCATATGACCAGCCGCGGCGGTTCTCAACCATGCATGATGAGTCTATTTTTGAGGCGCCTCAAAAATAGACTGGGGTAGCACTTTCATATGACCAGCCACGGCGATTCTCAACCAGCCCCCAGGATGGCCACTTTCTTCCCTGCTCTCCCCCGCCAGTCTCCCCTTTCCCCCATCCATTTCCCGGTCCCTTTGGGGTGCTGCGACAGTGTCATTCAGACACAACTCCAACCTCCCCAACCCCCAGGCATGCGGACACAAACCCCCCTGATGTTTTTCTCTCTCACCTCTCCCACCTCCCCTCCCCCACTCTCCCCCCCCCTTCCACCTCCCATCCCTTCCCTTCCCTCTCCCCAGAATGGCCACACTGTGTCCCGCACGAGTGACCAAGCTTGTCCTGGGTGGAGCGGGGCTCATGCTAACCAAAGGGGAGGTGCAGGGGGTGCTGCGGCAGTGGCATGCGGACACACCCACGGACCTCTTCCTGCCTGCCGAGCCTCGTGGCTTGCTCCGGCTGATCAGGCTTGGCAACAACGAGGCGCCGTACCTCCCAGACTGGCTGCTGCAGGACGCCCTAGAGGTACTGCTGCTGTGTGGCTTTAAGAGTCAAAGGTTGAGGTACCCTTGTGTGGCTTTAAGAGGCAAAGGTTGAGGTACCCTTGTGTGGCTTTAAGAGTCAAAGGTTGAGGTACCCTTGTGTGGCTTTAAGAGTCAAAGATTGAGGTACCGCTGTGGGGATTTAAGAGTCAAAGATTGGGGTGCGGGGAGGGCTGGGCTGCACAGGAGAGTGCTTTAAGAGTCAGTGGTTGAGGTGCGGAAAGGGCTGCATGGGGGAAAACGCTGGTAGCGCTTGAGCATGTAGGTGACGTGGCTTTGATTCTCTGGATGACGTGGTTTTGCTTGTTGGTGACGTGGCAGGTGCTGTTTGAGAACCGGGCGGAGAAGGCAGGGCTGCTGGAGGAATCGCTGAAAGCAGCCGAGGCGAATGCAGAGGACCCGGGGAGCATTGCTGTGCCACACATGGTAAGAGATGTAAGAGATGGTAAGAGATGGTAAGAGACGGTAAGAGATGGTAAGAGATGGTGTGTGCAGCAGTTTGGAGAACGCAGGGCTGCTGGAGAGTCCGCGTCGAGGGCAGCAGAGGCGAACGCAGAGGAAACTGGCAGCATTGGTGTGCCTTCAATGGTACGCGTGCGTAATGCGTGCATGATGTGTGCATGGTGTGTGCATGATGTGTGCATGATGTGTGCATGGCGTGTGCAGAGTGTGTGCATGGTGTGTGCAGAGTGTGTGCAGAGTGTGTGCGTGGTGTGTGCATGGTGTGTGCATGGTGTGTGCATGGTGTGTGCATGGTGTGTGCATGGTGTGTGCATGGTGTGTGCATGGTGTGTGCATGGTGTGTGCATGGTGTGCGCATGGTGTGCGCATGGTGTGCGCATGGTGTGCGCATGGTGTGTGCATGGTGTGTGCATGGAAACACCAATGAGCACGTGAAATAATCAAGTTTCATGTAGCAGCATACATTCCCATGCCATGCCATGCGACGAGATGATTTCACGTGCCCATGGAAACACCATCCTGTTGCCCTCCTCTATCTTTAGACCCCCTACCATCAAATCACAGCACACCCTGCTTGTGTGGGGCGGCAGCGACCAGCACTTCCCTCTCATTATCGCTCAGTCTGTCAGTTCCCGCCACCCCTCCCTCCTTCTCAGTCTCCTCCCTCTCGGTCTCCTCCCCTCTCGGTCACCTCCCTCTCTGCGCCCTCCTTCCGGTCTCCTCCCGCCACAGGGAACCTACTTGTGTGGGGCGGCAGCGACCAGCTCTTCCCTCTCGCCATCGCGCATCGCATGCAGCAGTGAGCCCCTCTCTATTTCTTCTGGTAACTTCCAAGCGAGTAAAAAGCGAGCATATGGGAGTCCACATGAGGTAAGTTGGTTCTCAAATACCAGCTTACCGCATGCAGCATGAGCCCCTCTCTACCTCTCCCACACTTGTTTAGGCGAGTAAAATGTTAACCAGCTCCTCCCTCTCGCCATCGCTTGTCGTGCATATGACAAAGAGAGGTTTCCCTGCCTGGAAGGGGCAGGGAAGCACCCGTAAACCTCTCTTTGCCCCTCCCGCCCTGTCCCCATCCCTCACGCCTTCCTCCCCCACGCAAGCACCACACGTTCGCATGCGTGCACCGTGCACATGCTTCCCTGCCCTTCCCAGGCAGTGCGAGGACCGTGTTCCCTTGGTTTTTTCTTGCGCCCTTTCCCACATAACCTCCCCTGTTTCGCCCCTTAGCTCTCTCACTCCTCGCTTGAGTCGAATTTAAAGCCATGCGTCCTCACGCACACATTCCCACGCTGTCTTAGTTGGTGAAACGATCATGCTACCCGTTGAATCAAAAATATACCTCCACGCGTGCATGCACAAAAGGCTTATATTCGTGCACACACGCACACACAAGGCTCATAGGCGACACATGCATTCCCATGCCTTCCCAGGCGGTGCAAAAATTTTCACCTTTGCCTTTTCCTGCTTCCTTTGCCAGTTCCCCTCTCTGTTTCGCCCCTTATCTCTCCCACTCCTCTCTCCCTGTCTCCATCCTATCACTCCCCACCTCCCCACCACCACCTGCCCCCTCAGGCACTTTGGCTCGAGCTGTCGCCTGGAGGTGATTGGAGAAGGGTGCACATGCCATTCAGTGTGTGCTGTCTAATTGCATTCATGTGGCCATGTGTATGCATTGCCATTCATGCATTACCATTCATGCATTGCCATTCATGCATTGCCATTCATGCATTGCCATTCATGCATTGCCATTCATGCATTGCCATTCATGCAGTGCCATTCATGCATTGCCATTCATGCATTGCCATTCGTGCATTGCCATTCATGCATTGCCATTCATGCAGTGCCATTCATGCATTGCCATTCATGCATTGCCATTCGTGCATTGCCATTCATGCATTGCCATTCATGCAGTGCCATTCATGCATTGCCATTCATGCATTGCATTCGTGCATTGCCATTCATGCATTGCCATTATGCATTGCCATTCATGCATTGCCATTCATGCATTGCCATTCATGCAGTGCCATTCGTGCATTGCCCATTCATGCAGTGCCATTCATGCATTGCCATTCATGCATTGCCATTCATGCATTGCCATTCATGCATTGCCATTCCATGCATTGCCATTCATGCATTGCCATTCATGCATTGCCATTCATGCATTGCCATTCATGCAGTGCCATTCATGCATTGCCATTCATGCATTGCCATTCGTGCATTGCCATTCATGCATTGCCATTCATGCATTGCCATTCATGCATTGCCATTCATGCAGTGCCATTCATGCATTGCATTCATGCATTGCCATTCGTGCATTGGCCATTCATGCATTGCCATTCATGCATTGCCATTCATGCATTGCCATTCATGCATTGCCATTCATGCAGTGCCATTCGTGCATTGCCATTCATGCAGTGCCATTCATGCATTGCCATTCATGCATTGCCATTCATGCATTGCCATTCATGCATTGCCATTCACGTATTGCCATTCGTGCATTGCCATTCGTGCATTGCCATTCATGCAGTGCCATTCGTGCAGTGCCATTCATGCATTCATGTGGCCACGTGACGCACTGACACGCAGAGGTTGTGTGCTTGGCTGTGCATGTGATTCTCTCGGATTAAATGAGAGAAAAAGGGTTTTTTTATTACACGTCTTCCCTGCTCCAGCTTCCTCCAGTCCATTGGCGCACCCTCCTGCAATCTCCATGTTGACCCCCGTCCTATCTCAACCCCGTCCCATGCCCATGTCCTTCCATGTCCTCCCATGTCCTCCCATGTCCTCCCATGTCCTCTCCCAACCCCGCCCCATGCCCTGCTCCAAAGGTACACCAAGCCGCACGGTTCAACAGCGCGGTTCTCTCCTTCCTCTCCAAGGCTGGATCAGATTAGATCGCCAGCAAGCCTGCAGCCCACCTCTCTTCTCTCAAGGCTCAACACCATCCTCCTCCCCTCTCTCTCCAGAAATGATTCAGATTTATTCATCCGCAGCCCACATGTTCCTAATTAAGGGCACAACGGTACCGTTTGAAATGCCGCTTTTGTAGATTAATCCGCCCCAAGCCAAGTCAACCCACATCCAAATAAATACGCCCATCCCTACCTAACCCTAACCCCACCCCGATAATAAGTCTTCCCCAACCTAACTCTACCGAGCTCAGATTACACTGTTTTCCCCAGCAGCAGCAGCAGCGGCAGCATAACTAGCAGCAGCAGCGGCAGCACAACTAGCAGCAGTAGCGGCAGCACCAACAGCACCGCCAACAGCAGCACGGGGGGCAGAAAGGCTTGGAGGAGCTCCACACCACAATGTGGTATGCAGCAGTAGGGTGGTGGTTGCATACAGGTTTGCAAACAGTACTGTGAATGTGTAGAAGCAGCTTCCACACCTGCTCACACGTGCTCACGTGCGGTCTTTTGCAGGTCACTGTGGACACTGGCGGTTGAGCACCTAATTTTCTTCCCCTCCGCTCCACTCCTTCCCTACTCCCCAAGTTGATCTGCTGATCTGCGATTTTGTGTGCTACATGGCCATGAGTCATGACCAGGGTCACAGATATCATACGAAATCGGTCTGATGGTCTGAAAATCAGACCTGTTTTTTTCCATGCATATTATTTTTTGACAGGCTAAATTAATTCGTCTTATCGACCAGATAAGCCATAAGACTTCGTCTGAAAGTTCAGAGCAGGGCCTCCACACCCCTAGAATGTCTAGTTTTTCTGGCTAAGTGCCCTACACAAGAGATATTCCTCCACACACCCCTCACAACAACAAAATTTGGGGACCCTCGGTCTGGCTTGTTTGTTAAATTATATCTTTGATATATAATTGGTAGGCTTGGTAGGTGTTACTGAAACCTACTGTAGAGGGTACAACCCCGCTCCTTGTAGCCCTCTCTCTTCTATTCTCTCTCTTTTCTCTCGTCAACTTCCTCTCCTAGCTAAACCTGTTAAAGTGAGAACGAATAATGACTAGAAGTGGAAACCTAGAACAAATACTAGTTGGTTGTACTCACTAGAAGCATACCTCAGTCTAGCCTATAACTTCTACATAGATAATATGTATAAGTTGACACACCCCCTAGGCTAGACAAGGGGTGAAACTAAACAAGAAGCAAACAGCTCAGGGCGGCACTACTAGTCCAACCACTGAGGCAGGGGTCTGGCGACCAGTCAGCAAGAATACAACCAAAACTGAAGCAAGCCAGGGTGGCACTACTAGTCCAGCCACTGGAGGTAAGGCCACAAGGCCAGTCTGACAAGCATATATAATAGAGAGTACACAATCAGGATCCTAACAGGGGAGCAGCTACAGGAACTAGACCAAGCTGTACACAGTGCCGCTAATGATCTTTAGGCACAAGCGCCTTAGTAAAGATATCAGCTGTGTTGGCACCTGAGGCCAAGTGAAATACACGGGCCTGGCGGCGCTGCTGTAGCTCGCGCAGGAGGAAGTACCGCAGCTGGATATGCTTCGCTTTGCCCTCAAGCCGAGGCTCCTGACACAGGAGTATCATGGCCCTGTTGTCAGCGTACAGGACCGGGGCAGAGCTAGGCCGCTCACCTAAGTCTGTGAGCAAGAAGGTCAGCCAGCGGAGCTCCTGTGCCGCCATGGCACCAGCGTAGATCTCAGCCTCACAGCTAGACTGAGCCACAGACGACGAGCGAGTGGATCTCCAAGAGATAGCACCCGAGCCAAGGCTGAAACAGTAGCCCTGCGACGACCTGAGCGTCTCAGCGTCGTCTGCCCAAGAAGCGTCTGTGTGCCCAGTAAGGACCACTGGCCTGCGTCCTCCTAGCACTAACCCCATGCCCGATGTACTAGCAAGATAACGCAAAACCCTCTTAGCGGCAGACCAGTGCTGAGGTCGGTGTCTGCCTGTAGCCACAAAGCGAGCCAGGATGCTGAGAGGGTATGCGAGATCTGGGCGAGTGCAAGTCATCAGGTACATGAGGCAACCCACCAGCTCTGCGTAGGGGCCACTGGGCTCTACTGGCTCCTCAGGAACGGGAGCAGAGAGCCCATGGTCTACGGGTAGAGGTGTGGGCTGTGCGGAGGAGAACTGAAGACCGAACCTCTGAAGGACCTGACGCACCAAGTGTGACTGGGTCAGAGTGATGGTGCGTGCTGCTCTGTCCCTAGAGATCTGCAGGCCAAGATAGCGACGCAGCTCTCCAAGGTCAGTGCAGGTGTGTCTCTTCAGCAGCTCAGCCTTCACAGAGGCCAGTGCGTCCCTGTCAGGAGTAGCGAAGACCAGGTCGTCTACGTAGACAAGGATGTAGAACGGAGTCTGGCCGGAACGCACAAACAGTGAAGGGTCAGCAGAGGACGGGAAAGAACTGCAGGTCTGCTAACGTGGCACGTAGCGTGTCGTGCCACTCGCGGGGAGCCTGACGCAGGCCGTAGACCGGGCGCCTGAGAAGCCACTGGGTCCCAGGAGGGAAGGTACCAGTGAAGCCCTGTGGTCGGCGCAGGTAGACCTGCTCGTGTAGGCTGCCCTGAAGAAAGGCAGTAGAGAAGTCGAGGGAGTGAAGCTCGTAGTCACGCTGTGCTGCTACATGTAGCAGCGCCCGAAGAGTGGTCATCTTCGGGGTCGGGGCGAAGGTCTGGAAGAAGTCAACCCCCTCGCGCTGACTGAAACCTCTGGCCACGTAGCGCGCCTTGAAGACAGGCGGCTCTCCAGGGGGGCGCTTCACCTTGAAGAGCCACCGACCATCGACTACGTTCACCCCAGGCGGGGGAACTGCGTCGACGTAAGTGCCGGTGGACCTCCAAGATGCCATCTCCTGCTCCATGGCAGCTATCCACTGAGAGGCCCAAGGTCCCGAGGTGGCCTCAGCGTAGGTGCGAGGGGTCGGGATGTCGAAGGCGTCTGGGTCACCCTCAGGGACTAACAGCATGGAGCAGAGATGGGGAGCAGCCTCGGAAAGGAAAGCCAGCTCGTACTGCCTGTCCTCTAGGACGTCACTGCCAAGGGCAGGAGCACCCCCGACGGACGGAGGACGGGCAGGGTCAGAGACCAGAGCGGTAGCGTAGTCAAGGCGGCGGGTAGAGGCGAAGTCAGCGACAGCAGCGACAAGCGCGTCAAGGCGCGAGACAGGAACAGCAGGGTCGGTAACAAGAGAGGCAAGGACCCGAGGGACAAGGGGACGAGCAGCACGGAGGTAGTCAGAGAACGGAGGAGGTGCAACAGCAAGGGACGAGGGAGGAGGGGACGGGAGGAGGGGAGGACGAGACGAGCGGGAACGGAGCAACATAGGGTGGGTGGGCAGGACAGGAGAGACGGGACGAGCACGGGAGGGACGGCGAGCCCAAACGTGAGACGGAGGTGTAGGGTCAGGGGACAGCGGAGGAGACACAGGAGGGGAACGAGGAGGAAGACGGGCCGGAGACGAGTCCGGCGGCGGGAACACTGGACCGTAGACAGGAAGGTCAGCAGGCGGTGGGGGAGACACCGGCGCGCGGTCCGGGGAGGGAAGGCCGAGCAGGCGGAGAGCGGAGACCGGCGGCGACGGCTGCTGCGGCGGCGACGACGGCTGGGCCGGAACTCTCGGACCAGCAGAGGCAGAACGACCGTCGGCAGAACACTCAACAGCAGCACCCCCAGAACCAACACCCCCAGAGCGAGAACCCCCTCCAACACCAGCGGCACCCCCAGAAGCCGCAGGACGAACACCCTCCTCCACACCAGCACCCCCAGGGGCCAAGAGCGGCGGCGGCAGTGGCCGCGACGGCTGCGGCGGCGGCGACAGCGGCGACGGCTGCGGCAGCGACGGCGACGGCGGCGGCAGCGGGGTCGGCGACTGCGACAGTGGGGGCGGAGGCACCGGGGAAGGGGGACGTGGCAAGGACGGACCGGGGGTACCACCAGAGTCAGCAGACTCCTCAACGGGGACAACCGACGGGAGGGGAGTGACGT